TATTACCAATATCGTTACTATTACCTTACTCCTATATCAATTGCCCTCTTCATCAGCAAACTTGCCATTGGAAGGTCTTGCAATAATATATCCCTGGGAGAAAGGATTCTGGCTATAGATAAATACTATATTCATTATACAAACCTGGGCCCAATTGCTATATCCTCCTACTACCGCCAATACAAGCGCTTGATCAACAGTCTGTTGTGGATATCTCCCATCTTTTGGCTGCACGTCAGACTGCTTTACCGGAAACCAACCTTATACTTACGGGGCTTTGTATCTGGTAACTGCAACTACCATACTTCATATAGAGATAACTCTCAATTCCAACACCGGCCAGCCAAACTGTAGCACCCGTGTCGGAAAGAAGTGCGTGTAATCTAGTTTTCATGGTAGATGTCGGAGTGCAGAGACGAGGAGACGACCTATGAGAGTGACAGCACAGCAGACGCATCAGACCCAGCGGAGCAACTTCTACACCGTATCCCCAAGATCACACTTAACGATACTGATCAGAGCCCAACTTCTGGTTCGGAATCCAAGTCTGCATCTGATTCGGGATCGACATCGGGCTCTTCCACAGAAAAGGAGATGTCTTCATCACACCGTTCGTCTACACACCATGGTTCTAGTCCTCCATCCAAGGGCAAGTCATCATCTTCCTCTTCCTCCTCCTCCAAGTCCAAATCCAAGAAGGACGACTGGTCAGATATTACGGACCCTGAGGAGAGAAGACGCGTTCAGAATCGAATCGCACAACGGAAATTTCGTAAGTTAACATCCACACTCCTCGAACGTACTAACTCTACTAACACATCTTCTTCCAGGGGATAAGGCCAAAGAGACCAAGGAACGTATAGAGCGCGACGAAAGAAACCGAGCACATGCCGGAAGTGCATATCACACCCCCGACCCAGGAGATCTCGGCACGGATGATGAGCTTTCAGGACTGCCCTGGGGCTCGCTGAGCTTGAAGCACGTCGTGGAGAAGGGCAAAGCAAAAGAATACTCCTCTCGACACGGCTCAAGAAGGGAAGACACGGCAACATACTACAGCCCACGAGACGAAGAAGGTTACTACGAGGGGGATACATCATACTATTACGACAGAGAAGGCTACCGGAGCGGCAGTGGTAGCGGCGATGGGCGCGGTGGTGGATCTCGCTAGGACACTATTCTCTACCTTACAAATACAGAAGCATATTTACATTCTCAGTAAGTTAGACACATGTCCTTCGTCCTTCTTACAAGTTGCCAAGAATATGACTAACATTGTTAAAAAAGACTCTTGTATTATTATTACACCTTCCCCCTTTTTCCCTCAACACCCAGATTTACGAAGTTACGACAATGGTTCTATGAATCTCCTTTCTTATTCCTCGGTTTCGACTCATCTTTATTCTCATTCCGCTCTCCGAGGAACACACCAACTCTTCTCAGGGCTGCGGATTGGTTTTACAGCACAATTGGTCTTTTGGATACGGATCTCCTTTTGCATCTGCGTTTACGTTTACGTTTGCATTTGTTTTTTCAGCGTCGGATCTTCCTTTCTGGTTATAGGACACCACTTCAACAACAACATCGGTACATACATACTGTATAAGCACTCATACAAGCTCGTGGTTCTTTCTTCCCCCTTCTCTTCTTCTCTTCTTCTTCATACCTTTCGCAGATCTCCCTAGGACGTCTGTGAAGGCAACTTGCACTCTAGACGTTGCTCTTCTTTTCCATTTTGCAATGTTTGTCGTTCTATTATTTGGTTTAGATGCGGAATACCCAGGTCAAGAGGAGGAGAGATAGTAAATGGTTAGATTTTTCTTGTTGTTTTCTTGAATTTCGTTTTATATAGCGTCTATAGATCAACTTGTACATTGAAACGTACGTATCTCCAAAACTTGGTACACTTACAATTACCAATGTTTATATTTCGCATAAGGCCTTTGAGAGTTTAGAAAAGGTTCCTAAGGGTCCCAGAGTCCCATGGGACCAAGCTGTGGATCTCCGAGCTTCCTCCTCTTGCGTGCTATGCTTAGGTTTCTTATTTAAGGGCATGTCTTGCTGTATCTTGCCGTGTAATGGATAGTAGTAGTAGTAATCTTGCTGGTGATAAGTTCTCTGTACAAGTCATCAATATCTGGAGTTCCTCTCTGTCTACCCCTTTCTATCTCTCGAGAACGATGTTGCAATTAGCATGTGAATTACGAAGTTTGGTGATTACTAAAAAGAGAAGATCCATTTTCCTCTCAAAAAATTAACAAAGGGACAAAAAAGATGTGGATTCTGAATATGAAGTCATACTCCAAATTCCCCTTCCAGCAGTCCTGCATATGAAGCGGTGCTGCCTCCGTACAATGTAACGGCCCGGTGAATGACGCACATGGAGGCTAAATATAGTGCATGCTCCTAGTGGTAGATTTAATTTAATTTAAATTCTGGAGTCATATCCGTAGAGAGAGGGAAAATGCTACGAGAAAGATAACAAGGGGTGTAAGTGTATGGTACAACTTCTATCGGTCGTGAGTCATCCGGACTTGGACGAGAAGGGTAAAAAATTTCTGTTTTTGTTATGATTATTTGATTATTTAAATTATTTTGGTGAAAGTAAATGAAGAGTGCTGGTATCAATCTTAAATGAAAGGAAGGCCGTGGGGACATAGTAGAGACTGTAATATCGGCGCCTTCCGAGAATGTGTATCACAGTGTGTGAGAGGATGCCTACGCCTTCTTTCTAGAAAACAGATGCAATGCGAACGGATGGATTGTTGACGTCAGTAAATGCAGGTCTGTTATTAGCTTACCGAGGTTCTGTGCAGCTGTACTTCGCATGTCTGTTGGAGATCGGAATAATTAGATGGCCCCTTGTTCCCTCATGTCTCATGCAGTGCTCCTTGAATAATTTGTGATTATGTTTTGGATCACAGTACCTCCGTACCGCACGGAAGGTTCGACAGTACCATAGTGTGCAGCCTTATCCGCTGGAGAAAAGCTTTAAGCTAGATGGCGCCTTTTCTGAACTTGGTATTGGGTTGGGAAAATCTCTTGGCCCGCATTGATTCCTTTTGGTAGCCCGCTGCATCATTTCCTTGTTTTCTTTGCTTTTTGCGGTGCTTCTTTGGGTCCCGTCCGCCTGGTTCGCGATTGTGTTATCTTTCAGCCGGATCGTCGAGATCGGATCTACAGATCGTGCACTGCAACACCGTTACTTATGTGATTCAGTCTGTGTAGTAATCACGGGTGAGCTCTTCACTTCTACAAAGTAATTCTTCTATTCCGTCTATCATCAAGGAAGTGCTGAGGTAAGGCCCCGTTCCTTCATGCACTGTCACTCCGGACGTGCATTAAGGCTATGCACAATGTCTACATGGCCCGTTGAATGGAACCTGATACAGTGACATGTCTGATACACGGTGACATTCGTCACGGCCTCCAGAGTTTACGTGTGGTCCTGCAGGAAGATGAAAGATGAAGTAAATGTGAAGATCTGTTTGAGAACAACAATCTCAACATGCAACAACGCGAATGTGTCTTATGAATGGGGAATTGGGATGTTCGGTGCGATGATTGTCTGGAGGATGTTCAAGTCTATAAGTATAGCTTTTCTTTCCTTCTGAAGCACAAGATTCCCCAGAGCAGAGCATTTCTCAAGCTTCTTCACAAGGCCAAACAACTCGCAAATCCACCTTCCTTCAGAACTATCCTTCAAATCTTATTCAGTTTTTTCTTAATCAACCACATCCATAAATCTTCCAAAATGCAGTTCAAAGCCGCCGCCGCTACCGCCCTTGCTCTCGCCGTTCTTGGTGCCAACGCTGCCCCTCAAATCCTCCCACCTGGCATTATTCCTGGAGGCGGTTCGTTGCCCACTCCCCCAGTCGGCGGCGCATTACCCACTCCTCCAATTGGTGGTTCATTGCCCACTCCTCCTATCACACCCCCATTCGGTAATGGCAGCGTCCCAAGCTCGGTTCCAACTCCTCCTGGATCTTCTCCATCATCGACTCCCTCAGGCGCACCCGGTGTCCCTGGAGGCAACCCAGGTGACGCCATTTCTGCTCTCCTGAAGGAGATCCTGGGCCTTGTCACCGGCCTACTCCAGGCTCTCGAGCAACTCTAAATTCATTCTTGCCTTTTCTCCAATGGGAAGAAGTATTAAATGAAATAGCAACTTTGGTATGTTATGAAAAACCTGGTGTTTTTGATAGCTGAAAGAGAAAGAAGTATCACTAACATGAAAATGAACAGCGTGTTTCATACCATTTACCGCCTAGGACGGACAGTGGAGAATCAGAGGGTTTAGGTTTCTTAGAACGAAAGAGACTCAAAGAAGAAAAGTGCTTTTACTTACTTTCTAACTTAATTCCATAATCAATAAAATCTTTATCTTTATCTTTCCTTTCTCTAAGAGAAAGCTGCCAAATGAAAGTATGCCCAAACCCGCACTTGTGAGTAAGAAACAACCAAGTCAACATATAGTACCATTCAGATGACGCAATGTCAACCATCCAAACCATCAGTACCACAAAGAATTATCCCGCTTCTTTCGTGCCTTTTTTGAAATAAAAGCACATTTTTCTGAAGAAAATACAAAAAGAAGCAAGGTAAAAAATGGCAAAACTCTAGTACTCAGTGCGGGCACTGCTATACTAGATAAAACCGGGCGGAACCGATTTTGCAAGAACCTCAGAGCTTTCTGACTTTATACAACCTCACCTAATGAGGAGGGGTTCCGTTCGGATCCTACCCATTAAGCTATTCGCACCCGCTGTCCAAAGTTGAGGTTACTGGCTGCTCACTTAATTAGGTTTATATAGCTGCTGGTGGAAAGAGGAAGATAGATGTTGTGCCTTGAGGAAGGCGCGGCAGTCGACACCATCTATTCGTAACCAATCACAGTGCTTCTTTTGTTTGTCTGCACGTGCAGCGTTGCATTCGGGCGGGAGGGAAACTTTGTTTATAACTTAAAATAACCTGAAACACACCCAACAATGGCTTACAAAGGGGCTGTAACTCAGTGGTAGAGTGCCTCGTTTGCATCGATGAAGTCCGGGGTTCGATCCCCCGCCGCTCCAAGCCTTTGTTTATTTCTTTTGCCTTTTTAAGTCTCCTTGCATTTTTTGCACAAATATTCCTGAGATGGGGTGATGCTTTCTTGGAATTGGATTTTTTGATCTCTTTGTGCCCTCGCTTATTTGTTTAGTGGAAGGATGGAACGGTCTCGTTAAAAGAAGGTTTGCTTGCCGCTGTAACTTCCCCGTTGTTGTTAGGCACGGAGTAGCATTGGCCAGTGTTGACATGCTTTTTGTTTGTGGTTAATCGGCTATTTTCACGCAAACAAAGACCGTAGTCATTTTAAAGGAGTGGGGTTATCAATGGCATCAAATCTTAGGATTGTATCGATCTCATAGATATGCCAGCCTTGCCCAACAAAGTATCAGCCTTGCGCGGAGTAAGCGAGGATTTGCTGTTGGATGAACCAAGCTTACCTGCCGAGCCTGGCTACGAGCTACGATGTTTCAACAATTGGCCGTGAAGACATGAATTTACACCGCCCGTCTAGTAAACAACCATGCACCCCTCAGGTCGCTGGTTGACTAAAATGGTGACTCGATAATACCCCATTCCTCAAGGACCTTATTTGCAAAAAGCCATAGCTGGAATATACGATGTCCAACTTTCAGCGCGCCCCCGTCGTGGGAGCAGGGGCAGGGGGTGCGAATAGGAAGAACAATATACTATCGACCATTAAGGCGACGCAAATGATTGGTAGCAAGCCTGTTCTTCCTGCTGAAATCCTGTCTACCATTCTCGACTATCTTCCTGTTGCAGATTTGATGCGGTTCGCTCGTGTTTCGAGGCGTATGCGGGAGATGGTGTATGAGGATTCGAGATGGGTCCAACGATTGAGTATAATGGGTCTCTGGAATGAAGGCGAAGCGAGGAAGAGGTTTGAAGAAGCTGTGAAAAGAAAGAGAGATATTATGAAAGCTAGAACGCAGGGGCAGGGAGGTGCTGGCGCCGCTGGAACGAGCACAACACTTTTTGATGCTGGATTTGAGGAGGACAGACAACGGAGGTCGATTGAGATGGCTTACAATGCTACGGCGGCTAACCCTCTGGATGGGTTTGAGACATTGACCGTATCTAACGCAGCTCGCAAACCGATGCAAGACCCCGAATCTTTACTAGATGTTTTTTCAGACGTTAAATCCATACGTGGTCATGCAAGAGAGGAATATGGAAGAATTTATGGGGCGCTGGCGCCTTTCTACTATGATCTAGCTCAGTCAAGGAGTCATGTTGACCCAGTCATCTTCAGGGTTTATCGAGAACCAGAACAGCAGGCCAAGATGTTGTCCCAGATACAGGTATTTTGCTTAAGTGACTGGGCACAGGGGGCGAGCCAACGAGAGGAGAAATTATCCACTATTATTGGTGTCTTTGAAAATGCCGTGTTGAGGGAGTTTGAACACGGCCAAGAAGCTGGGGATATTGATGGTAGGATGCGCAGATACGCGCATGTTTTAGGTATTTTGAATGGAGGCCATGCAGCTGTCGAGCTTTTTGTGCAGCAGAATCCAATACTCTTAGACCGAGAAGTCCTGGGTCATTCATTGGATTGCATAAATCAGGCATCATCTGACTCAATAGTACTCGAACCTTCACGAGAATTTTTAGACAAGTTATCCACCAAGATCAATGAACAGGCCGATATCATTGATCGAGTTTTCCCTCCGGGACAGAATGTACTCCAGATCCTATTAGAAAAGATAGGAGAAGATGTTCTCATGGAATACGTTACTCCGCTTTTTGATGAATCGCATGAAAGAAGTATCCCTTCGTATTTGAAGGCTGTCTCGGGTCTTTTTGAGCAATGCATACAGTTCTCCCTCACACTTAAACCTACCAAGAATTCTGGTGACGACTTTCTTGAGCAAGTCAAGTCCACTATTGCTAAGGTGTTTGAGCCTCACGTGGATTTATACCTACAGGAAGAGCTTGACTATTTCAAAAGGGTAGCAGAGACGGAGGTTGAGGAATGGGAAAACAAACTTTCCGCACAGGATGCCTCTAATGAAAATTTCTTCATGGGGAATTTTAATCGACAAGTGGATAAAAAAGATTTTCTGAGTTCATTCAAAAAGGTCGTCATGATGCCAGTCAGCGTCTTACCTAGCTTGCCTAGTTTACCAATATCCTCTTTATCTTCTCCGTTTACTATTAACAAACCAGTGACCCCTGCCCCACAGTTGGATAATCGGGCCAGTTTACCGGTTGTACCAAGCGGCGTCTCACCTATTCCTTCCAGATCACAAACTCCAAGCCTAGGTGCAAACATAAACCGAATGTCAACTCCGCTCCCTACGGAAGCACCGACGGATGAACTCGCCGCCAAAGCAGCTCTTATGGCATCGAGGTTGGAAGGCATTAAGTCCCTATTCAGCATCGAGATTGCCTTGGATCTTACCCACGCTGCTAAAGCTAGCATCGAGCGTGCAGCTTTATTTGTCAAACTTGGAGGTCAAACTGGCGGGGAGGCAAAAGAACAGTGCGAGACTATATTCGTCATCCTCCTCCAGATTCTAGGGGGAAGACATGTCAAAGCTGGATTTGACAAAGCAGTAGAGCACCTATCTCAGTACAATCCGAGGGAAGTGAGTGAACATCAACAGGGTGTTGCACCATTGATCACATTCTTGGAACTGGTCAATGTTGGTGACCTTATTTCGCAAATGATAGACGTTTTTTATGAGCAGCAGCTAGTTGCCACGAAGCTTGCGGATCGTAATGATTTTCTCGATCCTGCTGTGGTGGCCAAGAAAAAGTTTGAGCAGATGCTTGATGAGCGTGTTGCTGCGGGACTGAATAAAGGTATTGATGTACTAATGGATGAGGTGGAATATCTATGTGCGACGACTCAGTTACCTACAGACTATAATGTTACGGCTTTAGATGCCCAAGCTAAAACCCTCGATATTGGTCCTACCAAGACTGCGGTTCAAGTGGTCAACCTAGTGGAATCTCATACTAAAATGTTGGTTGGCAGCGCAGACAAGAATACGCTAGATGTTTTTAATCAAGAGGTGGGCCTCCGTCTCTTTACTGCGCTGTGCAAACATTTGAAGCGGCAGAGAATTAGTACGGAAGGGGCCATCAAGCTCATTTCCGACATGAATCTGTACTTTGTCTATATCCGAACATTGAAGAATCAAGACTTGCTTGAGTACTTCAAGGCATTGAGAGAGCTCAGCCAGATATATTTGATTGATCCATCCCATGCTAAGGAGATGGCTACGATTATTGCTGATGGAGATCGATTTCATGGGATATTTAGGGCTGAGGAAGTATATGAGTTTGCTGAAAGGAGAGCGGACTGGTACCAGGTTAAAAGGGACGTCGAACGGGCCATGTATGGGATCGGTTGTGTGACGATGTAATGTATGGCGTATACGGAGTACGTAACTTATGAACTACACTACATGAAAGAAAAGCATGTTATATAAACATATATCTACGTTGCTACCTGGAAAGTAGCTGAATGAATGCAAAGATAATATCTGGAAGTAATGCTCTTCATGCATTAATATTCATTATTTTGATGTGGATAATACATTATGGTTTATCTCATTCCGAAGTCTAATTTTCTAGCCACCTTGGGTAATGCTTCATCATCCAGCATTCCAGGCCTGCGTCCTAGGTCTTCTCCAACTTGTTTCGGACCCCCAGCTTTCTTTGGAAGATCCTTTTTAGGAGTTGGTTTGGGCTCACTTGACCACCACGAATGTAACAATATCTCCCTAGCAGTGATCCTTTTCCTTGGATCAAGCACCAACATTTTCATTAGTAAATCCACACCTTCTTGTCCTGCTGTCCCAAAAGTAGCCAAGTAGTGATCTCGACCTCTCACGGGGTTGGGCGGCTCAGGCACCGTGTATTCAGGAAGTTTGCTGACGCCTGGCCAGTTCTCCTCGGTTGGAGTTCCAACGGCTTGGCATATCAAACTGACTTGGTGAACCTCCGTGTCTCCAGCAATATAAGGCATACGTATAACAAGCTCGCAGAATACTAGGCCTACGGACCATATATCAACTGCTCCTGAATAGTGTTTCGTACCGAATAAGAGCTCTGGTGGCCGGTACCAACGAGTGATAACATTCGAGGTCATTGCACGATATGGGTCCGAGAACGATCTTGCTAGACCAAAATCTGCCAATTTCACCTCGCCATCAGCGGCAATAAGCAAGTTATTCGGCTTGATATCCCGGTGCAAGACGAAGTTCTCATGGCAGAACCATATAGCCCTGCTGAGCATTCCCATCCAAGCTTTGATGTCTGCTGCACCATACCGCACACCCTCAATGTCCTTGATCAACATCTCCAGATCACCGAGAGGTAGATATTCAAGCACCAGATTGAGGTTCTGATCTTTCGACGAGAAGACGGATTGTAGGGATATTATATTCGGATGAGACAGCTCCTGCAGATGTTTCAATTCTCGAATAGCGTCGGGGGCCATGCCTTCCGTGTATTCTTTCTGGACTTTAATCTTCTTGATCGCCACAAGGTGATTTGGGTCTGTGCGAAGATGGCCGAGATAGACATTTGCGTAGGTACCTTCACCGAGCTTCTTGCCTAGCTATGGTATTAGATTCTAAATAGTGAAAGTCCTGGATAGGATGGATCCGAAGCCAACCTTTAACCCATTTGTGCTTCTCATCTTCGTTCATCTGTTCGGCAAGATCCCGCCCCGTGCTTTCTGACTCTAGTTTGACATCCTTTGGAGCTGATCCCGACGAGATTGGCGCTGCACTTAGTAGCTTTGACCGAGCTGCTGCGGCTGGTGATTGATTGGGGAAAACTAGTGGTGAGACCGCCATGATGAAAATCGGGCATATAGATATCTAGGCGTGGTAAATAATGTTCGATCCTACATGTCGGGGGAGCCTGCACCCTCTTTCGAAGCTGCAGCTCAAAGGAAAAGCAGGTGGAACTGCTATTTGCTGTGTCACTTTATATTCCCTATCTTGACATCGGGCTACAGACGCGGCTAGGACTTTAATTCTGCAAGGCT